TATACACAAAAAATTACTACTGGGAAATATTTAATTTGAAATAGATTTTTGATTTTTTTTGGAATTTTAGAATCAGTGTGGATTAGTGAGTTATTAGAAAGAATTTGAATATTTTAGAAAAATATTGTGTGTGGTGTTAGGAACATACGCACACAGGTAGCGTCATTAGATTTTAAACCAAAAAATTGTTTGAAAGTAGTAGATTAGATGAGGGGGGGGGGCCAAATTTCAGCGACTGCTGGAACGCTGTCAAATATTTTCGGTCGCTACAGGCGTACGCCTAGGCCTAACAGAAGATTTCGGGGGTTACAAATTCTCATGAGAACAGAAGAAAGTAAGGAGGAAAAATGTGTCGAAAGTAAAACGATAATGAATGTTGGGAAAGACAAAAATATTTTGAAGAATCGGATTGGGAAGACTAAACCGCTTTATCTTCATAAGGATTGAGTTATATGTTGGTCTCCAAAATCAGAGCTGTTGAATTTTCTGGTTTTATTAGCAGAGAATTGACGCTTACGTTTAACTTAAGCAATTGAATATTAATTAAAACAAAACTAATTTTTTTATGTAGAATATTACCTGAAGATATTTGCGGGTTATGCAGTGAAAGAGAGAGAGACAGGAGATTAAAGACAAAATAAGAATTAACGAGGAAAGAATTTTACCCAAACGTGTTCATCAAACGTCACGTAAATTACAACTGCACTATTTATCACGAGTTTAAATCTCTGTAAATTTATAGTTCATATCTGGACATGCCTATCATATGAATTTTGTGTGATTTTCTAATAGTCGGCGTATTTGATCTGTGCGGTGTGGAGCGTCAGGACAGCGAGCGGTCATTACTGGTTCTCAACTTCCCATCATGCACTTCGGGACGCGCACAGCTGGGGTTTGTTCACACACACACACCAAGCGTTTCTCTGCGTCACTTGGCTTCGCTGCTCTAGCGTGAATTAATAATCAAGCCGAGCGTAATATTACGACCACACTGTGTCTTTCACTATGTGGCATGTGTTCCTAACTCCTGAGATCATTATAAGATGGCACATAAGTCATTTAACGACTCACAAGTAACTACAAAGGCCACATACCTTTGAAAGCAGAGTGATTAAATTTCATTGCAGTTAAGAGTTTCAGTTGTTGAGTACAGAAACAGTTGTCTGCCTCACGAAAGATGGAGGACAATGAGAAATTACGTCCCAGGTCTTACTGTATGTCCACTTCATGCTTTGAACGTAGAGGGCAGCAGAGTAGCCAGACTTTCAAAGTAAAACTGGCATGTACAATTCTCAGGTCTGTTCTGTGCTCGTAAACCTCCAGCAGACCTATCGCCTTTAACTGGATTCTATGACCTTATATTTTCATGTCCACGTCAGCAATTTGTGGACGAGAACCCATTAGGAATAAAATAGTGTCAACTTAGTATGTTTATACCTTAAGACAGGACAGGGTTTTTTTTAAAGAGGCCATAATCGGAGAAGTTTGTCCTTGGTTCGAGTCAGGGTCGGGAGATTTGTGGAGCTTGGAAATTAAGTACTATATAGGATAATCGTCTAAACCTAAGTTGTTTGTTTTGGGGAGGGAATTATGGGAATAAGGGCCACAACCCTGAAAAATGCCCTGAGTCCGAATCACAGTAACAATAGTTTGTGTATCTTCAAAACTAGACATGTAGATGAATGTCGCCAAGATATATTTGTATTTGTTTCTTCGGAGTGGTTACAGGAACGAAGGCACAAACCTAAAAACCGCGCAGGTCTCGAGTCCAGGTGAAGAGGTCTTTAGTATTTTTCAATACAATTACTGCAGAAGAACACAAATGACACCAAGCAGAACTGTCATTTCTTGCTTTCGCGATGAGATTACAGGAACAAAGGCCGAAACGTCTAAAAGAATGACCAGGGTTCGATTTCTGGTTGATGATGCTTCCGAAAAATATCATTCAAAACAAGTGAACTACAGATTCTAAATCATCATTGTTCTTTAGGAAAATAGGATAACTCCCTAAAAGCTTGTAATGAGACAAGACTTCAGTTTAAACATTTGGGGAATAACATATTAGAAGCCATAATTTTAACATAATTTTTAAAATGAAACTTCATTTATTCCTAAATCCCTAATATTATAATGCCGTCTGAGTATAATTTTCATTTTAAAAGTCTTAAATATGCTGTTAAACTATGATCGATGAAAATCAAATTCAGTCTTTGACAGAAGCGAGTAATAATTTGAGACAGGCCGGATATCATGACTGAGAGACTTGGTTTTCTTCAGTCCCTTCAGAAAAAATTGAAGGATATTCTCCCAGAATAGGCCGCGATAATGCCTTCGTATAATTTCCAAGTCATCGTTCATGTCAAATCATTCCACGTAACATATAGGACACGGTTGAGAAACGTCGATAAATTAACCAAGTTCTAATTAATGTGTGAAGTTTTGTAGAGGCGTCCAACTTAAATCTGTATGAAAAGTTGGTAATAGACGCTGGACGTTATAAGTAGGCCTTTTGTTTATTACTGGAAACATTCACGAAGAAATGTTGTAAAGTGAATTTCATTGAACACTGTCGGATTTGTAACTTAAATTTCACCGCAAAGTTACTCAATATTGACACTACATTTCTGTTGAATATACACTTATTAGTTTCAGAATCTACATTAACCTTGTCTGGCAATGGAGGATATGTTTACTCTGCAAATAGAAATGGAATGTACGTGGTCGGTTGACTTTCAAATAGACTGTGAGTACTAATTGCGCTCTAAAACATGTTAGCATTACTCAGCGATGTAAGCAAAGTTGTAATGTAAATTAACTAGATTTATCTTTAACTATGCACTGCTTGTTCCCATCCTAATAACCTGAAATAAAATGAATATGTTAAATGTGAATATTGGGTCATGTATCATAGCAAGAATTTTAAAGTCGCCGTTAACTTTCGTGGTGTCTTATTTAAATTGGTGGTTTCTGAGAGGGTTAACATTAATTTTGTTCAGAAGTTACTACGTGCGTCTCATCATAGTTCTAAAACATTCTCTTTTTTACTTTAATTCTTCTCGTCACCTTCTGTATTAAACGAAATATTAACCTCTTTTGTCCTCCTGACACTTCACTGATGCGGGCGAAATACAATTTACCATTCTGATTTTAAATTTATTTTTGCTGGAAGAATATGCTAATTTATTAAAATTATTCGTATTGTCAGAGTCTTAATCTTGAAAAGTGTTGTCATTTGACTCAATTGTTATTTTGTTCAAATCTAGTTATATTATTTCTTATTTAATCCTTAATTTTCCCCGCCAGAGACCTACGTACCTTAAAACACATAATATCAGTCTGAGTAAGAAATATACCACAGTTTAATACTACCAACTCTAATTCATTAAGCGATGTGTTGTTTACACTCGCGTTTGGGTTTATAAACAATTATTATTTTGCCCCTTCATAGTGTTCTTTCAGTTTCCATAGCACTGTAAGTAACTTGGCTGATTTACAGTTAAATTTATTAGACGTGACCGCTGAAAGGTGACGGATGACGGAGGCAGTATGACCTCTGAAACGTTGGTTAACATCGACCAGACTACACAACGCAACAACCCAGAAGACAGGAATCTTCATACTCATCGCCCTGATGAAGGAGGCAGTATGACCTCAGAAGCGTTGGTAAACATCGACCAGACTACACGGTGCAACAACCCAGAAGACAGAAATCTTCATACTCTGATGATTGAGGCAGTATGACCTCCGAAACGTTGGTAAACATCTACCAGACTACACAGCGCAACAACCCAGAAGACAGAAATCTTCATACTTATCGCCCTGATGAAGGAGGCAGTATGACCTCAGAAGCGTTGGTAAACATCGACCAGACTACACGGTGCAACAACCCAGAAGACAGAAATCTTCATACTCTGATGATTGAGGCAGTATGACCTCCGAAACGTTGGTAAACATCTACCAGACTACACAGCGCAACAACCCAGAAGACAGAAATCTTCATATTCACTGCTGTGAAAACCTCAAATCTTACATTTATTACGTTGTTTCGTAACCCACTAACATGAAGGCCCATTAGAAAATGGACATTTCGACGCTGTCTCAATAGAATCAAATTAAGTCGCTTCGTCGCACGTGCTGAATGTCAAGTTCAAGTTCATCTGCAGTGTGTGAGTTCCGCCAGACACATTCCTCCTTGTGGCTTCAACAAGTCTTGCATCTCCTGGCCCGCCACAGCTCGATAGCGGTCTTGCGGGCAAGTATGTGGTGCACAAGTTTAAGAAGACATTTGAGGCCGCGGGACGTGAATACTATTTCCTTGCTTTAACGCTACGCTGTTCAAAGGTCGGCATTTTGCATCACTTCACACAAAGCAAAGTAATGCTTATTATACCCTCCAGCCGTCTTCCTTAGCCTATCGACTGGCGTGCCTCTTTGCTGTTTCCCCGTCAATAATTTTTCTTTCTCATTTCAATGTACTTTTCTTTAGAGTAAAATAAGCTATTATTCTGCCTGTTTCTTATACACTTTCTCATTCGTTTGACATGATTGTGGAAAACTAAAATATCAGCATTTAACTTAATGAATGCACTATTGATTGTATAAGACACGCATATATTAATTATATGCAAACTCTAAATTTATTTGAAGACGTAAATTGAACAAGAAAATACTTTGTTTCTTTAAACTTCGTATAAAATCCAAATATACGCACTTCCGTTCTGCTTCGTTCCACTTGTTATTATTTTCCGTTACCCTTCCTAGTCCTTGCCCCAGCCACTTCCTATCCGTTCTCACTTTTAAACGATCATTTCGAAAATTCCAACGATTATGTCGAAATCATTCCATGTTTTCTTCCAATTTTATTGTGACGTACCACAAGCACGGAGTTATGTTGCGTCCACTCTAATACCTCCAACCTATTTCCACAATGTAAAGTTTGTCATAAAATTTGTGTACTTGTCACTACTGTCTGCCTGAAACTGTGGTTTTGCGTGTTTCAGCTTGGTTGCTCGGTTGGTGGATGTGCAAAACGGTGCCCTATGTTCAAGGGGTGTCCGTGGCTGCGTCAGTTTACAGCCTGATTGCCGTCTCGCTCGACAGGTGAGTCAGCAACCAATTGCATGTCTTAATGATGAACTCTGTTTAATGAATATGCGATTAATTTTGTATACGACTTTAACACACAGAAGCTCATTATTACGAAGATAATTCTTGAAGTCTGAAGGTTTCCGTCTGTGACGCGTTAAGAAATAATTGTTTTTTAACATTGCTCGTCGTAAACATAAAAATTACAACGCTGTTGGCCGTACTGTTAGAGCTAACCTCAGACCCCCAATCAGACTATTAGAGACGGCTTATAGCCAGTCTAATTAGACATTTCGCGCTATAGGAAATGGATTGGTGTGAAGAATAACTGTTGGAAATATTCCTAGAACCTACAAGTTGAGAAATTTATTTTGGTTATGGAATAAATAAAAGAATTCTGAACATGCCATTGCGAATAGTTTGTTATGGAAGTAAAGCAATGATATTAATAGAATTATGTCCAATAAATCATAAATTCTGAAGAGTATCAGTTAATGTAATTACATTTATTACGTAGCTCCAGGCTTATTTAACTCGTTAAACACAAAGCTTCCAGAAACAACCTTTCATGCGAAGTTGAAATTGTGGGTTTTCCCATCCTGTCAAAATGTATAAAAACTTGTCGAAGACTCAAAACCCAACTGTGCGAGAGAAATGTGCGGAAGTACCGAGCAAATGTTACGTGGAAATTTGTTCGAGTTATGCAGATAGGAGAAGTATTCTTGCTAAACTACTTTCCTGACCACTTCAGTAGCAGTTCGCATATTTCCGTACAGAAGCAATGAAGTCCTGATAAATATATTTTAAACAAATTGTCGCAGATAATAGAACCGTTCTTGAGTTTAGGGACTTCCTTTTCCAAGGAGTCCTACCGAATGTCTATAAATCAAAGCCAACGAAAAGTTGGGACCCGCAGTGCTCAGGCACTTGAAGAACGGATCGTTCCCAGTATCCCAGTTTAGGGACTTTATTTTTTATGGCATTCAATGATAGGTCAACGTGTCGGATGATAAGGCGTATGATAGACCTCGAGCCGTATCACTGCGGGCACTAGGCCATAATACGGTCCGTACCTCAAAGAAAACCAGCCACTTACTGTTGTGAAGGTAAATTTAGTACTGCTCTTCAAGAAAATAATCGCTGCTTCCAATGAGTGTTAAACGAAACATAAAAAAATGCAAGTGTACATCCAAATCCCTTATTTTGTATATATAATATGTGAAAGACATAAGTGGTAATTTACACTTTCCTTTCCAAATGTTCGTTTATGTTACGTAAATTTTCCGGGAACGTGCAAAGTAGAAATAATAACAATTTCGATTACGTATTAACAATGAGACAAGTATTTAAATCTGTCCCCTTCGACATCCCGGGGATTAGACCTTATAAGGACGAATTTGAGCTTACAATAATATAGATTACTCTTGACGGCAGAAAATGTTTCATAATGGCCAAGGTAACCAAAAGAAAAGGATAAAATTATTTGGAAAATAATATTGATTAATGTGACTGCTAGTGGAATGCTAATTGCAGCTTTGAAATATTAGGCCTCGTGATATTTTTCTCCAGTATTATGTATGAATATCAAGAATGCATATTATTAATAAACCGCAAAGGAATAAATTTACTAAAATAATGAATTCATGTAATACTGAGAAATATTTTCGCACACTGCCACGTACTAAATTGATCAGATTTGCGCCTTATTGATATCAATGGATTCAGAAGCTCCTGGATTCTGAACTTTTATCTGATAATTTGAATACACAGTAACATGAAACTTCCAAACCTGCTCTGAATTCCGCTAGTGCTGCTCCCACCACAGAAGTTTGCAACGCTGCATGTTGTATTTTATTAAAATCTTTTGCAGACATCTGTTTCGTCGGTTCAATTTCCCGGCTGCGATGCGACATACCTGAGTCGGTTCTTCGAAGTCGAGCTCAGTGCAGTCACGTGTCCCAGGAGGACACGTGACTCTGTCTGTTCTGTACACAAAGCCGGAATAAAGAAAGAAAGAAAGAAAGAAAGCAGATTTCTCCCCTGGTTGATCTCAAGCATCTTAAAATGTTTACAAAAAACACAGAGACGCCAGAGTTACAAGCGGAAGCGAGCCGAGGACGAAGTTATTTGCTCTGCATATTTGGATGGTTTCCTTGAATTTTTTTTGAAATGCAAAAGGAAAGAAAAAAGATCCCCTGCGGTTATAATGTTAGTCTATGTCCAGCAGACTGCTAATAATCTCACCGATGTTTGCTGAGTTTCATCCTATGCAGTTTCTTAGAGTAAGTTTCCGTATCTTTACAGCAGTTCCGTTGTTCTAACGTAAAACCGTTATTCCTGTATAAAATCTGTCCCGTGTTTGTTAAATCCTACTTAACACCATTGGTTTGCAACCTTATTGCTTATTGATAAGGTGTCGTACTGTGTAATTTTGGTAGGAAAATTAAATCGACTCCTGAAGATGGCAGTCTTTAGACTTACCGCCGTCAAAATTTCAAATCCTACTAAATCAGCTCCTATCTGTGGCGCCGATTCTGAAACTGCATCATAACAGCCGTCACAGAAACCATGATACAAAGTCGTACAACGTTGCAACTCTTAACAGCTGAGCCCATGCGAGTGAAGACGGCTTAGAACTCGGAGCATAGCAAATCTAGCAGCGCTGTACCAGTAACTTCTGGTTGTCTTGAAGAGAAGAGTAGTAAAGTTATTTCCGTGGTCTTAAAGGTTGCGACCTCTAGTCTTAGAAGCCGACGGATCTGAGCCCAGAAACAAATAGTATCAGTGGTTGTAACGTGTTTAATGCCAGATACTTCCCTATTATAAGGCTCGACGTAAAAAAAAACTTTATATGTAATTTAATTGCACTCATTTACATACAGATCTCCCTCTTGCACGCCGAGAAAAGCGATGAACACAAATTGCGACACGTGATATTTTGTTTTCCGTGTTCTAAACCACGGAACGGAACTATATAACGAGAAACTGCATTATTAATATTATAGCCCATCATTACTATGACTATTAAATCCTCGCATTTAATAGCGAATAAGACTTGCGAAATGAATACGTGAGTCTGCGTATTTTAAAGTTCTCTAATGTTACAAAAATGAAGATTTCTGCGATGAAAATTCTCCAAAATAAAATGCGAGGTCCTTACGCCTCTGAAGATGTCGATACTGGTCTTCAGAGTTATAAAACCTTGTGGAACTGCAAGTAGGTTTTAAAGAAATAAAACTGACTTAATATTTAACCCAGAAACGTCGGCATCAATCTACAAGTCCGCACGATGTTATAAAACAGAAGAAGGCCACTGCCGACAACTTCAGGATAGTAAATAAATGACATTACTATCGGATTTGCAGATAGGAAGCTTTTGAGCCGATGCAAAAGTTGGTTAGGTTTTACTTCGCACTAATTAACTTCTGATTCCGTGTCACCAAGAAATAATTCATCACTTGCCATCCACGTTATGCATTTCAGGGCACCGAAGTGGGCCATAATTATGGCAAAACATACTTGGTAATAAAAGATTAAGTAGGGTAGACGAAAGAAGGGCGACACCCCAAGAGGCTGTCGCGTTGATGAGAGGGAACAGCTTTGTGCCGTGGACAAAGTTTCACGGGAGTCTGGCAGATAGAGTGCCCTCTATCGACAGATACATTCTGCCCTGTAATAGGATTACAAAGAAGAAAGATGTTCTTGCGGCATGTCGTCATGTGAGAAAATTGCTAAGCACCATTTCCAGTTTAGACGCGAACTTATCAACCGATTTTTTTTTTGTATAAAGAATTACTTTTTAAATATTAGTCTTTATTATTTTAGTTGTTACTTAACCCCTTGCGGTCCCTTTTAAATACCACTACTGCCCTCTGCAGGTCTATTTAAATACTACTAAGCTGTATAAGTTCAACTACTATTATGAACTGGTTTAATTTTCTTTTATAACTTTCAGAAATCGAAAGAAACTGCTAAATATGGTGGAAATATGTTCTGAGAGAATCACAGTTATCTTATTTGATTACTGACCGCGTGAAAAGGCTAGAATAATATGCTGACACAGTTTGTCAGCCTTGGTTTGATTCCAGATCACGTAAAAAATGCGTAAAATACATGGCGGACTCAGTCCGACATAGGACCGCAAAGAGTTAAGTCTCATTCAGTTAACATTAGGCTGACGATTTAGCAGGGACGGATACTAAGATATTTTTGGAAGGTCAGATGGCAATGTTTATGATTCTGACGCCCTTTCCTGCATCGTCTTAGAGTTTTAATTTCCTGAAATTCGTGAAGCAAATTGTCCCAAGCCACACACATTTTAATCTTAGTAGCCGAAATTTTATAATTGTGTCGAACGACAAATTAGTCGATACATCGAGAGGTGTAAATTTATCTCACCTTAATTTCAGTTCCTGTGTCTCTGTGTTCTGCATTATTTCACCTTCAGTCAGTTCAAAGTGTTTTCTGGCTACTCTTCAGGTTCAGTTTGTCTCAGGGCCTGTCGTGTTTGCCGTCTCTAGCATCATAAATACTCCTGTCCTCGGTTGCTCTCGGTATAGACACACGACGTAAATCTAAGGTCTTCAATCTCACGTCAGTCGACCGAGCTACATAAGAAAACATTGCGTGATTGCCGAACCAAGTCATAGATCATTCTGGACTGCGGGCAGCTTTTAAAGTGGAACAAAGACCTTCCATTGTGAATTAGCCCAAACACCCCACAGTGTAACCTCTAATTAATTGTCATTATACGTAATTAAAATGCTTTTGAGAGACGAATTGACAGTGTATCCTCACTGCATTACGTATATAGGGAGTTCGTGAGTTTGTCTTTCGCCTCGAATTATAATAATATTATAAATATTTTCATTAAACAACTTATACGTAAGCTAACTCTGTCGTGGTCAACTCGTTTCTTACATAGTAAAAGGAATGTTGACTTATTCTTTGCTGCCCACAGATATATTTAGGAGAATTGAAATGAGGTTTACTGAAGTTAAATGCGAGATACGTAT